CCTTATATCCAATAGAGTGTAAGCTCCTCCCCTTCTGTATCCTCCCTTATATCCTAATAGATTGTAAGCTCCTCCCCTTCTGTATCCCCCCTTATATCCTAATAGAGTGTAAGCTCTTCTCCCTTCTATCCTAATAGATCGTAAGCTCCTCCCCCTTCTGTATCCTCCCTTATATCCTAATAGAGTGTAAGCTCTTCTCCCTTCTGTATCCTCCCTTATAGCCTAATAGAGTGTAAGCTCCTCCACTTCTGTATCCTCCCTTATATCCTAATAGATTGTAAGCTCCTCCCCCTTCTGTATCCTCCCTTATATCCTAATAGAGTGTAAGCTCTTCTCCCTTCTGTATCCTCCCTTATAGCCTAATAGAGTGTAAGCTCCTCCACTTCTGTATCCTCCCTTATATCCTAATAGATTGTAAGCTCCTCCCCCTTCTGTATCCTCCCTTATATCCTAATAGAGTGTAAGCTCTTCTCCCTTCTGTATCCTCCCTTATAGCCTAATAGAGTGTAAGCTCCTCCACTTCTGTATCCTCCCTTATATCCTAATAGATTGTAAGCTCCTCCCCCTTCTGTATCCTCCCTTATATCCTAATAGAGTGTAAGCTCTTCTCCCTTCTGTATCCTCCCTTATAGCCTAATAGAGTGTAAGCTCTTCTCCCTCCTGTATCCTCGATGGCAGAGGCCACAGGGGGGCGCCTCCAGAAGTAGATGCGCTGAGCCGATCCTTATAAATGTGACGGACGTTCTAACCCTTTACCTCCCTTTCTGAGGCTGCAAAATGCTTTGCTAACTAGTCTGAGCACACGGCCATTCCCTCCGGTATACGTACCCTGTCCCAGCATGCACCAGTGGTTGAGAGAAACCCACTGATTGGCTGCTGTACTGTACATACACTCACAGTGCCTCTCATTGGCTGTCCCACAATATGACAGAGTCACACTCCACCCAGGGGGGGGGGGGTGGTGCAGACAATGCCGGACACCGGGAATTAACCAGATAATTGCCACTATAATCCAGCCGGGCTGACTAATCCAGCCCCCGGCAACCACTAAATGTCTAGTAGCCACCTCACAGAAGGTGATGGAGGAGGGGGGGGGGGGCTACACATTTTTATCTTCCACGATTTTAGGTTGTTTCTTTTACTGCATCTTCCGTCATCCACTTCACCTTATTGGTCGTTTTATTTCGTCTTTGATGATTTCTTTTAATTCCACCTGCAGCTCATCCGGTTCTCTGTCGACTATGTTTACGTCTGGAGTGTGTCCTTGATGTCTACTTTATGGTGGGAATGTTTTCCAGGTTGTGTCTTAGAAGATGATTGGATAGTTTTGTTCTTGAATTTCACTTGAAGTTTGCTCAATATCAGTTCCTGATCCCTCCATCTGCTCCCGGCCATGTCTGTGATGTCATCATGTTGCCTATTTGAGTGTGACCAAGTCCGGCTGGTATAGAGATGGCGCACCAATGAAACCTCACAACGACTCATCCGCTCCCTTGTTATCTCTCGTCTTGTCTATTGCAACTCCCGCCTCATTGGCCGACCTCTACACAGGCTCCTCCCCCCTTTATCTATCATGAATGCTGCTGCTAGACTCATTCACCTAACCAACCAATCAGTGTCTGCAACTCCTCTCTGCCAATCCCTACACTGGCTTCCATCCCCCGCCCCCCTCTGCCAATCCCTACACTGGC